CCTGCTTGGGCAGGGGGTTGGGCTGGGTGACCCCCAGAGGGCCCTTCCAACCCCCAACATTCTGTGATTCTGTTAAGAGAAACTAGTTTACAACAGGTTATTAATGATAAATTCTGAACTTTGTTACTTGTCTCCCATATATAGCTATGTAAATCTGCGTTGTTACGCAGAAAGAGACGGTTGTTCCTTTTTTTGGGTTAGGACCACCAGCTTTCGTCTGTTGGTTGTTATTCTGTGCTGTATCGCAACGCATCTGGTTGTGGATGGCCTGAAAATCATTGCGGAATTGTGTAGGCTGGAAAAGATCCTGGCAATCATCGAGTCCAATGATCGGGTCGGGTCTTGGCTGCACTTGACTTCTCATCCCTCGTAAATGCTTGCTTTGAGCTCTCAAAATTCGGGGCTTTCAACAGTGCCAGTGTCCTGGAAGTCTAGAACTCCACTCTGTGTAGTCACAGAATGTTGGGGTTGGAAGGGCCGTCTGGGGGTCACCCAGCCCAACCCCCTGCCCAAGCAGGGTCACCCACAGCAGGCTGCACAGCACCGCGGCCAGGCGGGGCTGGAATATCTCCAGAGAAGGAGACTCCACAGCCTCCCTGGGCAGCCTGGGCCAGGGCTCCGTCACCCTCAGAGGGAAGAAGTTCTTCCTCATCTTCAGCTGGAGCTTCCTCGGCTTCAGTTTGTGCCCGTTGCCCCTTGTCCTGTCGCTGGGCACCACTGAACAGAGTCTGGCCCCATCCTCCTGACCCCCACCCTGCAGATATTTAGAGGCATTTCTAAGGTCCCCTCGCAGCCTTCTCTTCTCCAGGCTGAACAAGCCCAGCTCCCTCAGCCTCTTCTCCTAGGAGAGATGCTCCAGTCCCCTCCTCATCCTCGTAGCCCTGCGCTGGCTCTCTCCAGTAGCTCCTCATCTTTCTTGAAGTGGGGAGCCCAGAACTGGACCCAGTACTGCAGATGGGGCCTCAGTGAAACCTCCTTTTAGGCACCAGTTGATGTCGAAGCGCTGTTCTTAGCTTCTGACCTCCTCTGTGCCAGCCGTCGTTTGAGTTCGTGGCTCTCCTGACCCCGTTATATCACATACGTGTCCTTGCGTGCTCCGCAGCTTGCTTAAACCCGCGGCTCAATGAAAGCAAACCCCGTTCTTGCTGCTGGAAGAATGATTTACAGCCCGTTAGTAACCTTCATCCATCGGACACGAGCCAGCGTGGAGCAGGGAGCCTGGTGCTGCCGGTGATAGGTCTTTCTAGCAGGTCGCTCCCAGTTCTCCGCTGGTGATGGTTGAACTGGGGAAATAGGTGGTTATTGCCGTGCTGTCACCGTGTCAGGTCCCTGCCTGGGTTGTGCTGAAACCGAAAGCTTTGGCTTTCTTTTGCAGGAACTGATACTTTTCGACGAGCTGACGTCTGAAGTGAAATCTGTGAACCTGTGCTGCAAGAAGTCTTTCGCTGTGTCACCGCGCCGGTGCTGAGTTGTGGCTTAAAAGCTGATTAAATCTGGGAAAGGTCCAGCTGACAACTTCCCCTGTGTCTGTAAGGTAGACAGGGAGAAGGCTACCTGCGTGGAAACGTGAAGGTTATAGCGCTGGAGAGTGCCTTTGGACTTCTAGTAGGGGAAATAACAGATAAAGACAGATGAGCCGTTGACATCTCATAGAATCGTAGGATGGTTTGGATTGGAAGGGACCCTAAAGATCATCTGGTTCCAACCCCCCTGCCATCAGCAGGGACCCCTTCCCCCAGCCCAGGTGGCTCAGAGCTCCATCCAACCTGGCCTTGAGCACTGCCAGGGAGGGGGCAGCCACAGCTTCTATG